TTTCCTTGTGCTAATTTACATTTACTAATGTAGAGCACAAAATAGATGGGCATTTTTTAGAAAAATCAGAAAGCTTTTATTTTGTCTCTCTTGTATGAAAGCTGAGCTGTAAAAAAAAAGTTCTGTTAGAAGAGCGCAAGAAACAAGCCTGGCCTTACTTAAGAAGACAGCTAATTTGTTTTGGCCTCTTAAAGTCATGGTTGGGTCACTTAGGCAAGCATGGAATCCAGACAGCATCATTAAAAAATCATGTGTTTTGTTGCAGAAAAGAAATGCACATTCATTGTCTTGCTCAAAAAACATTCCTCTGAAACGTGGACTACTAGAACAAGGAGTACCACAGGCTTTGAATATCTTTACCACAAAATAACTGCCATGCTTCAAACACAATGTGAATGTTAATTGCAAAGCAGTGTGTGAGGGGATTCAATGAGAGTTCCCTTGAATACTTAAATCTATTAAAATTACTTCTCAAAGGGAAATGTATTGATCCAGCAGAGCGTACATACTATTACTATCCTCTGAGTATACACACATTCTTGCCTGCATAATATAAAAAGCTATTTCAGACAGCATGTGAGTATGCTAGTATGGATGTGTTTTTGTCTTGCTGTCGGGATGGAGCTGGTGCTCCTCTTGCTGCGTGAAGTATGTGCCGTTCCCTGAGGCCAAGCGGTCCTGAAAGCATATTCTTTCATCCAGGGCCATCCTTCAGGCATCCAGAAGAGGAAAATCATCTAGTTAATGCCAGGATGAAATCCGTACGCACATGAAACATGCATTTTCTGCATGTTTGGGGGATGCCTTGCATCCCAGCTGCATCAAAAGACAGAGGAGAAATGCTGCTTCTGAGGGCTGAAAGGAAATTTTGCATGCCTGTAGGGACCACATTACATTTTATATATATATATATTCATTATTCCACTTATTCACACACACACACACACACACAAGGAAAAAAAGTCAGACCAGTCAGAATCAAGTAGGCTATTGCATAGATGTAATAAGATATAATAAAACATGTAATAGAGCAGCCAATTAAACACTTTTAAACAAATATAATACTGAACAATTAATAAAACCGTATAAAGGCAAAATACCAAACATTTGTAACTTGTGCCAACTTATTCCTGTCCTGACATTTAAAATAAATATATTTGTCCTAAGAACATAATTCAAACTTTAATTTATATTCTACCTTTATTATACAATATCAGACTGAAAACCTTATATGAGGGACAAAAATTCCCTTTGTTGTTTTCTTCAGTTACAAGTTGCTTTGGATAAAAGTGTCTGCTAAATAAATAAATGTAGTGTAAATGTAAAATTCATTTTGATGAAAAAGGATAAAAACATCCAGCTCAACTCTGGATACAGCTAAATGGGGGGGGCAAGTACCTTCACAATGCAGTCTGTGAAGGTACTCACAAATAAATGGTGGCCATGGAGAAAATTATGCTGTCTGACTTTAAAATTATGACCAAAAACCATACTGAAGACTTAACATGATCTTTCCAGTGTCATGCTATCTAAAGAAAATAGTGCCAGGTGAGTTAATGCCTCAATTTGCCTAACTTGATAGAGGTTAAACAAAAAAGAGCAAAATGGCTCTCGAGGCCCGATTTCGGTTAAATTAGATGTGAAAAACTGACACAGAGCAAAAAACTATACTTTAAGGAATAACAAGCTAACAGGAGATTGCTCTCGAAGCTTCATTTGGAGAGACCATGGCTGCTATTAGAAGGCAGCTGTGCGGGAGGCCGGGTAGAACATCTCATTACGCAAACACGAATCTTCCACTGCTGAAGAGAGCAACCTTTCCACTCATTCCACTCCCACATAGTCATGGAGAGGCCCCGGAGGCCACATTCAAAGCCATCGCATTAGATCACTCGCAGGCATAGCACATCGGATTGATAGCACAGAGGCTTGATGTGCTTCAAGTGGCTGCCCATTGGACAGTAAGCCAATTGCATTTACGGTGAGGCAATCGGCCAAAGCGGCCCTCAGCAGAGAAGCGATGCAGAAGCTCTTGCAGTTCAACTGTAGAGACGAGGGGATCAAGCCGGCAATTTTTGTGCTTTCCAATGGGCCTCTGAACATTTGCATTTGTGCACAACAGAGAATACACAGTGATTCTCTTCTTCCAGAAACAATCAGGGACAAATATGGTCTGATGACAAGCATCGAAATGGTCTGATGAGCGCTTATCAGGAGACAGACCATTTGAAATGGACCGCTGGCTAATTGCCATTGTTCTGGAACAGAGCTTTGATCATTGGGCTAAATTGTGGCGACCTCAAGGAAGATTTATTCTGTCAGTATCGCCAAGGCCTTGATTGTTTATTTTCTCCCAAGTTCTTTTCTTTCTAATAAATTGATTGCAAAACCACAGCATCAAGGATTATAATTGCAGCCTCCTTTCACAATAACTTATGATTAAAACCAGTATGAATTTTAATAATGAGACAAGTCTGTTGGGTGTCGTACCTGTGGGTATACAGAGCACGCAGTAGACACCTGCATATTTAGTATCAAAGAAAATAACCTTCTAATTATACAGACCTTCATTAACACAGAAATCTTGGTACAACCAATCATACCTGAACAACATCCTCCTGAGGTTACAGTAGAAGTTTCAAGACTCTGTAAAAATAAAAAAGGATTTAGAGGACAACAACAAAAAAACAAAAACACCTTTTTGAGACACACTCTTAAAAATAAAGGTTCCTACCCTAGTAAAAAGTAATATTTTAAAATACATTGAATTCATACTAAGTATAGTTCAAATATATTAACATATTTACTGACATATCGCCCAACACTTACTTTAATTGGAGTACTACTTGTGCACAATGCACATTTCTTAATATTAAGCCTAAATGTGTTTTAATGTCACTATTGATGAGGATTGTATGACCTTTGAATAATATCAGTCTTTAAATGCAAGATATTTCAAGTGTACCGGAAGTATACTTGCAATAGTTCTACATTAGCAAAATCAAATATACTTCAGTATATCTTTATATGGAATTCAGCTCTACTTCTGCACAATTAAAGTGCAAAGATTAGTTGTTTCAATTTAGGAGACTTTTAAGTAAACCGGTTTAGTATACCAAAAGTACAATTGCAGGGTATTTAAGTACATAAATATGTAAATGTATTTGTAGTATACTTGGCATGAAACAAATGTGTTTCAAATACTTTTTAGTATATTTATTTTTCACTAGGGTAGAGTGACTTTGTGCAGAGATTTGGTTCCCCAAATAATCTTTCAGTGAACAGTTCCTAACAGAACCATTATTTTCTTACTGAGAAGAATATTTAATTAATTAGAATAACTTTTGTCCACTGTAAAGAAGCTTTTGTGCAGTGGAAAGGTTCTAGGAATGTTAATGGTTCTTCATGGAACCACAGATGCCAATGAAGAATCTTTATTTTTTTTAAAGTGTAGAGAAATCAACATTAATATGGCATAATGTGAATTCTGAAGGGGTGAAAAAATGTTACAACCCACCCCATGTACTTTGACAGCAACATTTAGGGATAAGCTGTAGATTTCAAAACAACTTTAATTTGCAGCAGATAAATGTGGAAAATGTATATCAAAGTTAAAGATTAATAGTGCAAACAACAGTGGATTACAAAGTAAAATATGTGACAGCCATCCCCATTCTCTCCTAATTGGGTTTTACCAGTGGGATTAGGAAACATGAGGAGGAAAAACCCTACAAGAGCATTCATCAGTTTGAAAATTTATTTTCATATAAAAAGACACTCTATGAAAACAGTAGAGGACTACTTTGTACAATCTTATGTATAAAAAACCTAAACGGTGCAAGGAGGATTCTCTGTGATAGCCATCTTCTTTAGCCAATGGGATTGTGTGTGCTGGCAGGGGGAGGATCCAAAAGTTTCAAACAGGTCAAGCCATGAAGAATCAGGAAATCCAAGCAAACATCTTCAATCTTCAATACATCCACACTCAGCTGTTCATTTTCCTACGTGACGATCATCCTCCTCACAATGCACATATTCAAAATACATATCTCATAAATTGTATGTGACTGTAAGGCCATTCTCAAGATTTTTTTTTTCCTTTTTTAAAGAGCAATACATAAATCTGTTCAAAACATAGTTAGTTTAGTGGGATTCTGGAGTGTAATTCTCCAACTTCAATATGTAGGACTCTGTAAACATCTATGAAAAACCCAACACTCATATACAGAGACGGAAATAGAGTGGAACGACAAAATGTTGAAACAGTCGATGACTGCATCAGACAAAAGAGCAACAAAAACAAAACAGGCACTGTAAATGAAGCAGGGTTTGCGAACAGCTGCGTGGTTGCGAACTCTATACCTAAAATAGTCAAATCACCTGTGTGATTTATCATACTGATCTTTCAAGTCAAGGTTACAGTTCCACCAAATCCTTTACCTAAAGTCCAAACATTCTACATTTTAAAATTCGTATTATAAACATTTAGTTCCGGTCCTCAAATTTGATTGGCCTGTGTTCCAAGAGTGCTATACAGTCCAGCTGGCTTTGTACTGTTCCAGTTTTTGTATCTTGGCCTTCTTTAGGAATTAATTTCATTAGTGGAAAAAAAAAAAGGTAAAATTTTGTCAGAAAGAAAACTTCTTGTTTACTGAACTGTTAAAAGCAGTATCACAAACACACTACAGTACTGAATATCAGTCGAACAGCACTCTTGATTATGCAATATTGCTTTTCCCAAATACGAGAGTAATATTCAGTCTTTCTTGACTGCGGATGAGAAGGGAGACGAAAAACTAGTTTTAATTGCTGTGGTGGTTTGGAGATATACAGTGGGTACGGAAAGTATTCAGACCCCCTTAAATTTTTCACTCTTTGTTATATTGCAGCCATTTGCTAAAATCATTTAAGTTAATTTTTTCCCCTCATTAATGTACACACAGCACCCCATATTGACAGAAAAACACGGGTCTGAATACTTTCCGTACCCACTGTATTTCATGGGGACGAGGTAGCCCATGTTCCGCATTAGAGCAGATTACTTGCAAAGGTTGAAATGGCATGCTCTAGTCTTGCCATCTGTGCCTATATGATATGCTGACTTCAAGGATCTTTTTGAGGAGATGAAATTTGCGCCAAGTAAGAAAATGTCAGGACAAATCGTTATTCCCCCAAGATAATTACCAGACCTCTCTCTTCCTCGTTCGCCCTCTCGGTCTCGCTTTCCAAGTCTCCATGTGGAGTTACATCAGCCAACACAACTAATGAACGGGTTATAAAGAGAAGCGGGTTAGCAAAGATGACCTCTGCAGTCTGCATAGCATTAAGCCAACTGTCAAACTCCACAGTCGAAGTGCAGAAATAAATCCAAATCAATTCAGGATGACTGGTGGAGTCACTGGTTTTCAAATGAAAACATCACAAAGAACTACTTTTTGCAAGAGCAGACATGTAGCACAATATTAAGATGGAGAGCAAATGTGGAAACTTAGCAGCACCTTTGTGTTGGTTCAAAATGGAAACGTTCTCAGCTGGAAGTGTGTCTCTTACTGGATAAGCCCATTCTGGAACACCAAAGCTTCTTATGACTGGAATGTGGATTCTTTTGGTTGTTTTGTGTAAGATGGAGCAAAGATGCTTCCCTGGTGTGAACGAATGCAAATTTGACAATAAATCGCACATACTGTATAGCACAATTTTTTTCTGTCAAGCATTTTGAAAAACTTAAAACACAATCACACAGCGGTATGACCTACTTTCACCCATAAAGTGATACCTGAAGTTTAGGTATATATATATAAAAAAAACATTTAGAAAATAAAATAAAAAAACGGACAAGCATTCTAAATAAAATAATAGAAAAAAGCATGTAAGTACAGTACACCTGATGCAGAGGAAAAAAAGCAGAGGATGGCACATATTAATGAATACTTTCAAAACTTCCCCTCCCTCTTCCCCGAAAAACAAAGCAAGAAAAAGGGAAACGGAACTTGAATCATCCAAGGAATGAGAAGACAGAAAGGAGGAAAAAAACCCTAAGGGGTTATTAAACTGTGTGTGTATCATCAGTATTGATTTTTTGTTGTTGTTCCTCTATAAAAAGAAGGGTGCAGAAATATTAATTTTAAAATTCCCAAATCATCAAACAGGAGAAAGAGAATCCTTTCTGGAGTAAAATCAAGACATTTCAGAAACAGTTTGTTAAATGTTTTTTTTTTTTTTTACCATACTCTCCAGGCCCCACTCTTTCATTTAATGTCTCTGTGTGAAAATATAGAATAGAGCACTCTTCATCTCTGGTCTGTCCTCACACCTGTAAACAAGTACAGAATCCTTTAGAACACGTCTTGCTGAAGATCACTGACAGCGTGAGTACGTAATAGGGTTTAGTTGTCTCTCAGTTTGTTGTAGGTGTGTGTTCTCTTCACACTTCAGTCTGGAAGTCTCCTTCGGATGTGTCAGGTGTGTTGGCGGAGCATGTGTCCCAGGGTTTACTGCGTAACTCCAGTCTGTCCTTATGTTCGCTGGAGCCACACGTCTGCTCAGGGGTCATGGTCTTAAAGCTGTCCCAGGATCGCTGGTCATCTGTGGTGGACTTGTCCTGAATATGCACATACACAGAAGAAAATTCTAATTAAAATTAAAACCAGAGCATAAACGCTGATTACCTCCTTTTAGCTAGTCATCCAGCCTGGTCATAGCAGGCTGGTTTTAGAGGCGTTTTGACCACTTTTTTAGAACAGTGGAACAACCAGCTAAAACCAGCTTGGCCAGGCTGGGAGACAGTTAAAGCCAGCTACTTCCAGCTTAAACCAGCTTAAACCAGCTAAGACCAGCCAACCAGCTTAGAAGAGTAAGTCTAATTTCTAAAAATTTGTTCCCAGGACCCAAATATGTACAGTTATCATCTGATTCTTTTTTTTAAAAATGTATTTATTTTTATTACAGTGGTGGTGGTTAACCATAAGTTATATAGACTATTGTTCAAAATATATTTTTATTTGATTAATATTAAGTATTTAATATAAACCAATACTTATATTCAGCAAGGATGCATTAGATTAATTAACAGTTACAGTAAAGACTTATAATGCTATAGATTTTTTCTATTTCAAATAAATGCTGTTCCTTTGAACGTTCTATTTATCAAAGAATCCTTAAACAATAAATAATTAAATTAAGCAGCGCAACTGTTTTCAACATTGGTTGAATATTACAATAAATATTACAAATATAAAACATGAACAAAAAAAACTATATAATAATAAAATATACTATATACACTTATTCACACTACATACACATTTGGGGTTAGCCACCACTACAATAACAAAAACAATACATTTATTTTAATTTTACAGTGCTATACCAATATCACTCTTATCTACAGTATTCTGGCAGCAACCATCACTACCATGGTCATTTTTAAACATGCAAAGAGCATCATAAGACTGAAAAACAACATTTTATCTCATCTGGAATGTGACTAATGAAAATGTGCTCGGGCATTTGTAATTCGCATTTAATGTGCCTGAATGCACGTTTCAACAGCAGCATAAAGACTAAATGGCCTTATAGTCTTGCTCCATTACGACTTGTCTATACAACATATGGAGCGACCCACTCGTCGGCATTAGTGGTGGTCTGTGCTGCGTTTTATGCCCGGCTATTCCAGGTGTTCATTACTTCAGATGGCCAGAACACATACACTCTCCATCCCATTGAGGCTAATGGTGTATCCTACAGCTATACGGCCTCTTAATGGTAGGTAAATTGCATTATACAGTAGGGGCAGATTAATCTAATCACACAGAGACTGGGGCAATATGAGGTTGGGATTGTAGGAATATAAAAAAATTGAGAGCCAGGCCACTCGCAGGGGCTCTGTTGAGACCTCACAAATTTATCTTGCAGTTCCCCTCCTCTCAAATCTATTCCCAGCTTCCCCAAAAATGAGATGTATGAACCTGCATATTTTGAAACGTTTGAGGCGATCAATTACAGGGTTGCTGTCGGCTCCCCCTCAGCTCAAACGCCTGCTGATTGCATGTGTGACGGATTAGGGAGATTGGAAAACCCCATGTAAATGACTCCTCTGAGGTATGACTGAGAATACGTTTCTCTGCCTTCCTCTTGTTCATGAGTGTTTGTAAAAGGGGAGGCTTAAACTAAAGTTGTGTGGGCGGGTTTGCCGGTTACCATGGAAATGGAAAAATGAACACAGACACAAACACACATATACACACTAAACTCACACATGCACATTACAACAACATTTCGAGTAGAGAGCAAACTGGACATCTTTTCTTTTGGCTCTCATTCACAACCTAAATAAATAAATAAATCTGAGTTTGTAGGCTCATGTAAGCAAGTTTCCGTCCACAAGGGGGCGATAGCAGCCTGATTATAATTCACCCAATGTAACAGGCTGACAGTTGGCAAAATGGATACAAAAAGCATAATCTGGCAGCCAATTTGCATGCTAAACGCTGAAGAAGGAACATTTTGTCGAGCAGAAGTGTTGTTAATGCCGAAGAGGGGCCCAACTTTATTCCTAAGAGAATGCTAACGCGATTGTGCTGCTCTTGCGTATTTCCTTTCCCCTCCATCTCTCTTCCTCCCGATCGCTTCGCTCCCAACAACCCTCCTTCACTTCCTCTAGCTTTCTCCATCTTTCCTTGTCAGGCCTTTTCTACTTACACTCGAAGAATTCTTTTCACCTCCGGCAGACGAAATGCTCCATCGCTTTTCCCTCTGTTGCAATAAAAATGAGGATTGGGCATATACTGCAGATTTTACTTTATTAAGGCCATGTCCACACGTACACGGGTATTTTTATAAACTGAGTTTTTCCTCCTTCCGTTTTTTTAAAAAAATCTCCGTCCAAATGAAAACGCAAACGCATGCTATGAAGCACTGTCAAGAGCATGCCAAACCAACAGGTGGCGATATAATCTCAACCCTAAAGCCATGTTGGCCAATCAGAAGCCTGAAAAAGTTTCCAGTAGGTGGAGATAACAGCGCAGGCTCCGACGTCACAAACCAAAAACTCCCGTTTCGCTGTCTACACGATAACACTGCAACCGGAGTTTTTGAAAATCTTCACCGTGGCAGGCATTTTCAAAAATGTTCGGTTTCAGTGACCTGGCGCTGCGTTTGCATGTGGACGAACAGCCAAACCGCGTAGAAAAAGCTGTGGTTTTAAAAATAACCGCGTTAGTGTGGGAAAGGAAAATAAAGGAAGAGAGACAGAGAGAGAGACAGGCAGAGCGAGAGAGTGAAAGAGAGAAAAGGAGGGGGATCACAGTCACTGAACATGTCTGGGGGGAAGCGATGCTTGTTTGAATTTTTGTTACCTTGATGGAGGAGTCTATGGATTCAATTTTGGAGGCAAGTGCACTCCCTTCCTCCATATTTCTTTTGCACAAAGACAGACAGAGACAACTTAAACGGCTACAGCACTATGCTCAAGAGAGGCGACTGCTAACTTTAGCATATATGAACCACATCGAGCATGTCTGTATTGAAACACTGCAGTAGAGGAAGAGGAAACTTAGCACTGCATGCTAAAGAAAAGGAAATTCTGTGATGATTTGGAGGAAAAATGGACATGGAGACATAAACTCTGTATTAAAACCTGCTGCCTACCATCTAAGGCAGCATGCTAACTAAATCAGAACCTTATGAGTGATCTTTGAACTGCTGTATACAGTATAACTCTGAAGTGTCTTAGCATGTTGCTAAGAAATAGCATGTTGCTAAAATAGCTAATCTGAAATAGATTGAACATTTCAGTGTCAAATTAAGTATATTTATAATTTTTTTTTTCTTTTGACTCCATCCGCGATTTTGGATACCTTTTTCTTTAGCATTTTAACATTGCTAAGCTAACACCACAATAAAATAACTAATTTAAACCAGATTGGACTATTTTTTTTTTTTAAATATTGAATTTATACTGTATTTTTCTTGACTCCAATATTTTGGATACATTTTGGTATTTTAACATGTTGCTGTGCTAACAACACATTATAATATTATATAATATATATATTTTTAAAAATAACCGCGTTCGTGTGGACAGGGCCTAATTGGAGGTCATTTAATTGACCTCCATTAATTGATGCCCAGTCTTTCTCTGTAAACATTTTCAAAGTTTAAGACGTTTTGAAATCTGTTCAGATTGTGAAAGTTGTGCATTTCAGCCATAAGATAAATTTCACTGTGCTTACAATTATGAGATTGATTCCTTGCTTCGCAAAGGATATGTATCATGCTGCCTCAGAAATTATCCAAAATGAGAAATATTAGGAGGCAGGATAATGTAGCTGCTTACAATTTGATTTAGATTTCACATCAGGAGTGCCCCCAAAATCCCCTTAAAATGCTGTCTTGGTAGGCAGCTCACTACATTTTTGAAAAGAGCTATTCTGTCTTTACTCATTTTGTAGCTAGTCCCTATAGAGGATTCTCATAGATTTTAAAAATGGATGTCACTCCCTCACCCCCCCTTCCCTTCCTCTCTTTTCCGAAAGTAGTGATGGGCAGGAATGACATCAGCAAGAATACATACAGTCTGCATGACCCTAGTCCACTGATGAGGTATAGGAAAATGAAAATAATATTCAAATCACTCCTTTGTTTTTTACCCAAGAAAAATTCACCAATTTATGTTTTTACAAAGTTAAACAACTGTATCACCTCTTCTACACAAAGACACTCTTTGGATTCGAGAACTAGAAATAGGTGTGCACAGAAAGCAAGGAAGGTACAGCAACACAGCAGTGACCACAACCTACAGTATGTGTCCACTACGCAAATGAGAACGCACAGGTCAGAGAAGAAGTCAGCTGTTGCACAATGAAGCAAAGGAAAGATGTGAAAGGAGCAGTGTCTACAGCAACAGGGCAGCGGGGGAGAGCAAGTTTAGTCGCTGTGGGAGTTCTGTACTGGTCTAGAAGTTTCTATGGAGACTATAGGGTGGAAAGGACAAAAAGAAACACTCTCTGTGACTCTATGGCTCAAACACACTGCTCTCTGGATGAGATTTTTTTTCTGTTACCTTTTCTCTGTTTGTCGCCCTTGGGTCTGCTGACTGCCTGGCTACAGTCAAACTATGACAGAAAACATGTAGTTTCAAACCAAGGAAAGACAAAGACTGGCAGCAGTGCATTATGAAAAAGACAACAATACACAACATAAACAATAAATAAAAATCCATAACAAAAAGATAAAAATGTATAGTGGATCGAGTAAAACAATGTGGGTATGCAACACAGAACGAGAAGCAGGATAGAACGACAAGCCCTTTGTCAGAGATGAGTGTCTGGGGCGAATTCACTAAACAATTTTAGTTTTGCCATTTTGGGAGTGGTAATTCATCAAAAGATAATCAAATGATAGAGAAGAGCATTTTAACTGGCTATATATTTAATTATAGCATTTTAAAGCCAGTTCAGGCGTCTGGATCGGAGCAATGTACTAAAACTATATAGTGTAGTTAAAGTACGCCAGATAGCAGTAGTCTACCGCACCGTCCACATTTTGACAATTAAAACCTTTCAAAAGATACAATAGTGTCATGCAAATTGTGTTGAACACCACATTTTTTTTAGCTGTTTGCATTACATTTTAATTAGCATAATTGTATACCTGATTTGCATAATTCCTTTAGTGAATGTGCTGAAACAACACAGGCAGCGTTGTGCAATTTTAGTGAATTCTCCCCTCTACATTTATACATTTATACACAAAAAAATATATTTAGTGAGCTTTGGGGTCTCCAACCCACAATAAAAGGCCAGAATTATGGGATAATGTACATATTAGGCTGTTTGTTTCAGTGGAATGTGTATCTTAACTCCTGGAGCATTAAATATAATCGGATAACCACAATAAATGTTGATATATACGGTCACCTTCATTGCATACATGATCTCTGAGTTCCCTCCGTTATAAAGTCATACATTATGTATAAAGGATAATGCGCTTAAAGCCTTATCTGGTCTCTCTGCTATGACAGCCATTGCTGAGTTATACTGCATTATGTAAGCTCTGCTAATAGTCTGTAATCTATTCTACTCAGTTCAATGTTAGAAAAAACACAAAAGGGCAAAATAGACACAAAACTGTCACAAAAATGACTATTATCCCTTCTATACCATGATCCAGATATGAGCTGCGCTACAATACAGCAGGAAGAGAGTTCTACATGGTGAAATCTGCAGACATGACATATCTCACTAATTACGTCTTAATTGGCACAGACTGCAAATTAGCATTTTGCCGTATGTGTATGAGTGTGCAAGAGTCCCATCCCAGCTTTAAGCCCCTTCATTAAGCTGTTTGATGGTGCATCTGCTTCAAGTTCGGTCAACACAATACTCCGTAAAGAAAATATCATTTTCGGTCAACACAATAATCTGTAATGAAAATATCATTTCGGGCCTAATTTTATGTGGACAAAAGGCAAATACAAGATGGCAAAAATAGGTTATTCAGTTGATACCCGAGAGGGATGGAGCTCCAGTAAATGAGGAAACTATTATGAGAGAAAATCGACAAGGGTGAAAACATACTCGTCCTCACTGTAGCAAACTGTTTCAAACACCTGAACTTCACAGTTGGGCTCAGATGCCAATAATTCAACTCAACTGCAGGGAAACAGTTTCAACGAGGCATAACCAAACACGCTAAGAATAGGTAAACACTCACAGATGCACACTAATGGGTACTTATAATCACACACACTGTGTGAGTACTGATAAATGTTCAGAGCGTAACCTTTAAAGCATGACAATTACAATTTTAGATTCATGAGACCACTCTATGACTGATACTATATATTATCAGTGCTATAGGGTTTTGAAAGATTTAATGAGCCATTTATACTAGAAAGCACTTTGAATAGTACTAGTTGATAGGGTTCACAGAATGTAATCATGCTTTGGATTAAACTTTCTAATTGCAGATGAAGGCCTTTAACACCTAGATGTAATTTAAGTAGGTGACTCAACACATATTTTAGCTGCAATCATAGTAATTGCAGAAATGTTGTTCAGATTACAGACGAGTTAGCCATAATATATTTTACCAGAAGACTATAGTATTGTTGTCTCTGTACTCTAAAAATATTTTCTTTTAAAAAGCTGCGTTTGTAATTCTTTCCAGGGGTGTAACATAACAAAACAACCTAATGTACAGATCGGAGAAAAAAAAAAAAAAAAAATCAAATGTGGTGGACAATGTTTTTACATACAAAAACATAATATTTTTTTTTTATTTTAATCATTTATTGTGAAATTAAATGCATTTAAAATTAAACTGTGATTTATTAGGCAATTTATATTTTTACCTTAAAAAAAATCATACATTTTGCCCTTAATCCTCCTCCTTTCAAATAAGTTCACGATTTTTTAACCAAACTGTATCACCCTTCATAAGAAGAAAAAAAAATGCATAGAAATGTAGTACATGATTTAAAGCATCAGTCATGTCCATATCATACATTATGTGGGTTATGTGCCTTAGTTTAATACTTTAGGTTAGGGGATTGTTCAAATCTTACATTATTGCTAACTCCGTGCATGTATTTATGATGTTTACTCTTTCGTAAAACAGTCAGTGGGTGTAAGAGCAGAGGTTTTCAGCTAATACATATTTCAAGAGCCAGACTGTTGCCTTCCTCTGCTCTCAAGTTTGCCGCTGTGTTCATTTGTAGGATCCCCATTAGCATGAATAGATTGAACACAGGG